AAAAAAAAATTAATTTCCCTTGAAAATTACGTGTTTTTTTTTTACCAAAAAAAAACCGGAAAAAACTTATGCATACACCTAGTAGGCTGCATTTCGACATTTGTTGCCAGTATTAAAAATTTATAGTATACGAGATACATATGTTATAGATTTTCAGTGTGTTCTTTTTAGCAACACTGCTGAATTGGTGCAATAAGTTGAAGTGAAACAGATATATTTTGTCTCACTTCAACTTACAGCGCTAATTCAGCTAGTATAGCTAAAAAGAACGGACTATGCACTGGCAGTGAATATCGGAACGCAGCTATAGCTGTGATGTGAAAAAAAGAAGGAAATAGAACTAGCGTAGCCAATTCAGCCAAAAAGAACAGACCACATGTGTGAAGGCTTTTAGCAATTCTACTGTTTGAGTTCCTTTTTCCTAACTACTGGCGTAGGAGACAAGGTAGTCCACAGCCACAATTGAGAGGAGAAAGGTTTCTTTTTATTTACGATTTCTGAATTATGGCGGTAGGCAAGAATAAAGGCCTTTCGAAAGGAGGTAAAAAAGGAGTAAAAAAGAAGATGTAAGTAAAACATATCGTATAAGATGTAACTCGGTAGCTATATTTGTGAAAATGTGTATCACAAGTTACCAGCTCACATGATGCCTTAGGTTATGTTTAGTGCTCACACACCAATACCAACAGTACATATTTTAAAATATTTTTTATGAAACAAAATAATTCAATTATTGATTGTTTTTCATATAACGGAGGGATTTGCAAAGTACATAATAGGCCCCCTTTTAGTACTGTTATTAGTACTATGCTGACCCCCCCCCCTTTGTTTTTTATCAAATTATATACTTATGTTTCATTCTATCAGCAAAAAGTGTAACTAAGTTTAACTAAAAAGAACGGCTAGTGTACATTATAAATTTATGAGATTTATATTCTTAATCATTTTATTATCATAATATTTCACCTTTCATATTTTATTTCACATGATGCTATATTATTTCAGTGTGGATCCTTTTACTCGCAAAGACTGGTATGATGTAAAGGCACCTTCTATGTTTGCCAATCGGCAGGTGGGCAAAACTTTGGTCAATAGAACTCAAGGCACCAGTAAGAACTTCTTTCTTTAAACTTCAATATAATTAATAAAAAATTATTTATTTTCTAAATTAAACAGTGTTACTTTATTACATATTTTTGTTTGCTTCTTGTTTAGCAATGAATATAATGTACATATCAATTTTATCATAACAGAAATAGCTTCAGAAGGTCTCAAGTTCAGAGTGTTTGAAGTATCTCTGGCTGATTTGCAAAGTGACCAAGATGCAGAGAGATCATTCCGTAAATTTAGACTGATTGCTGAGGATGTCCAGGGTCGCAACGTATTGACCAACTTCCATGGAATGGACTTGACCACGGATAAACTTCGATCAATGGTGAAGAAGTGGCAGACATTAATCGAAGCTAACGTTGATGTAAAAACTACAGATGGCTATTTATTACGCATTTTCTGCATTGGCTTTACAAATAAGGATCAACTCAGTACAAGAAAAACCTGTTATGCTCAACATGCGCAAGTTTGTACCTACTTCAATTATGTGCCACACATGTCATGTACAGCCTCTCACGTTTATTATAGTCTTTATTATAACGGCGAGAGATGTTACGTACATCAATAGAATCGTTTGTTGTGTACAAGTAGTGATCTTGCTATATATATTATAACGTTTATAAGTATTTTTACTTGAACTGATTCTTTACACCTACTCGAATGTTCAAATTTATATGCGCGATATATTAAAATATAAAATCTTATGCTCCATTGATTCATATTCGCAGGAACGTTGGAATCATTAGTTACAATTTCTATTCAATTTATATAACTTCTCTAGTCATTCAGTTGTTTTGCTACTCGTTTTAATTTTCTGTGCCATAACACATAATTGAATTTAGGTGAAAAAAATCAGACAGAAGATGGTTGAAACTATCACTGAAGATATCACAAAGACCGACTTGAAGGGTGTAGTTAGTAAATTGCTTCCTGACGCCACGGCCAAAGACATCGAGAAAGCATCACAGGGAATTTATCCTCTGCACGATGTTTATATTCGTAAGGTGAATACTATGCATTGTTCGAAGAGTGTGGGAATACACAATTGTACAATACAGTACAGTGCATTTTCACTGTAAAATAATGAACTGTAATTGTTTTTTTTTGTTCCTTATGAACGTTAATAAGTTGTAACAAATTTTATTAGGTGAAAGTATTGAAGAAGCCTCGCTTTGAATTAAGCAAATTGTTGGAGTTGCACGGAGATGGAGGTGGCAACAAGAGCGAGGAAGTTGGCGAAAGCGGTTCCAAGATCGACAGGCCGGAGGGTTACGAGCCACCGGTACAAGAATCTGTTTAACGGTGCAAAATTATTTTATAATCTTTCACAAAAATAAAGTCGATTTTTTATCGTGTAAATAACGTTATGCTCATATTTTATTTGTATATTGGGAACAACTTGTACACAGAACGTGCCAGAGTTGCAACAGTTTTTGTTTCTCATATTTCGGGACACAAATTATGACGAAGCGAACTTATGAATCGACGATCATGCGCGGTAAGTTTTAAATTGAGTAGTCGCTCGTTTAACTCGAAATATCTTATGAAAATTAACGACAACGTTAATATAGCCAATGTGGTTAAAAACTAGAGACTCGAAGCTTTAAAGTGCTTCTTGAACGATCTCGATAGCATCATTATTGCGAAAGTTACAGCCTGTTGAATTTCGCCTGTTTCATTACAATGGAAAGTACGTATGACCAGCCCTCGAGTCATACTACGAGAGAGATAGAAAGTACGTTCAGCTCCATCGTTTAGTCATATCACGATCTCAGTTTCTCGTTAGATAGGAAAGTGGCGACTCGTAGCGGAGATTCTGGAACCTTCCAAATTACAGAAATAACGGGTTTACGGAATTATCAGACCCGTCAATGTAATTTGTCAAATCACTTACTGAAGGTGCAGTCTATACATAAGTCTATGATTTGGTTTACGGAATTATCAGACCCGTCAATGTAATTTGTCAGATCACCTACTGAAGGTGCAGTCTAAATATAAGTCTATGATCCCCCCTCCCCCCCC